TGTGACTTGCCCAGGTGGCTACAAACTCCATCTTGTTGCTATGATTTTGCACAGAAGAACAAAGGGGTTTCCGCCTACAAGAGAGAGAATATAAAAGGTCCTGGAAGCCTCTCCATTTTGTCTTCAGCTGGTTCAAGAGATGGCCTCTCCAAAGAGATGCCCGAAAGAAACTGGGACAAAGGACAGAAACTACGGGGGTGTGAGTGATTGCTGGATCCAGACCATAAACTACAATGTTGGTCTGAAAAGGATTGGGCCCAGACTAGGAAGGAGTCCAGTTTGTGAAAGAAGTTTATTGGAACATCTCAGAGGGTGAGATTTACCTGTATTCAGTTTCCTAATGTATTAAGCTTAGTCTTGCGTGTTTTGTTTTATTTTGCTTGGTAACTTACTTTGTTCTGTCTGTTATTATGAAGAACCTATTAAATCCTACTTTTAATACTTAATAAATCACTTTTGCTTATTAATTAAACAGAGTAAGTAATTAATACCTGGGGGAGCAAACAGCTGTGCATATCTCTCGGTCAGTGTTATAGAGGGCGTACAATTTATGAGTTTACCCTGTATAACCTTTATACAGAGGAAAACAGATTTATTTGGGGTTTGGATCCCATTGGGAACTGGGTGTCTGGGTGTTAGAGACAGGAGCACTTGCTAAGCCTTTTTCAGTTAAATCTGCAGCTTTGGGGGCATGGGTCAGAGCCTGGGTCTGTGTTGCAGGAAATTAGTGTATCTGGCTCAAAAAGACAGGGTTCTGGAAGCCCAAACTAACAGAGAAAATGGGCTCAGAAGTAGTCTCAGCACATCAGGTGACAGTCCCAAGGGGGTCTCTGTGACTGAACACATCACCTACTTCCCACCCACCCATTTAGATTGATCTGCTGCACAACACACTGTGTAATAATATATTGCAAATCTCTTGTGCCATGGGATTTCAGATGAGTTTATCACAGATAATCACCCACAAGTGGCTCTATGATGGTTCTTGGGGTACCCAGGATTGTGAGTTACCTGAGGGTGTCTTCCCTCTGGTAGCTGAATATTAGCTCCTTAACACTACCAGTCTGTCAACCACCCAAGCACTCTTGTCTCTGGTATGCCAGCCCTGTCTTTGCCTTCCATGTTAAAAAGAAGGTGCTCCAAGTGCCCTTAAAGTGCTCCCCTGTGAAATCCAGCCCCTGACTCTGGCTACTCATGGAAATCTCAGATTCTCTGCTCCCAAACGGAACAGTGTACCCCACTTTATCAGTTTTACCTTAAATTGCCTCTCCTGTATAATACACAGTACTTATGAGCACTTACAATAAAACAAAAGTAAGTTTATTTAAGAAAGAATAAAGTCCCACTAGAAACAAAAGAGAGTGATGGAAACAAATAGTTACAATACAAAACAAAATAATAAAATATGGCCTATGCCTAGTTACCTTTCCTATCTCAGGAAATATGTTCCCTCCTACACTGCAAGTGCAGTCTATTATAGAGATAACTGGTTTCACTGGAATGAGGATCCAATTTTTCATGAAACACACATGCTCAGCAAGATGTCTCCTCAGTGAATGGATACAGAGTGTCTTTCTCCACCCTGTGATATGCTGAATCAGTCTTATGACTTTATCCATAGAGAGGGTAATCACATTGTTTTACCATTCCTTTTCACTTCCAAGAGGTTTCAATATTTATAGTTTATATTTGATGGTTCCCCATTGACTCTTATAGGTTGTTGCAGCAGTGGACAATTGAATAATACATTACATTATCAACGAGCCAGGGAGGGACTACAACTTTCTCCTGCTTGAATGGGCCATCACTGAAACATATGATTCCTTGTGACTCACTTTCATTCCAAAACCAGAAGGGCAGAATTTTCAATATAGTTACATTATTCCTTGTACACAGTTCCCTAATGTATATGAGTATTGATAAGTTTCCTGCTTTCAGTAGAGACCTCACATACTACCTTTTATGGATAAATACCATGACAGCAGTGCGTTAGGTGTAGTGAGTTTGTTAGGTATGAGAGCAGAGTTGCTTGTAAAAGAATAGTGAATGCTTTGTCCATTGGCACCAATATGCCTCTATGTCATAGGCTCATGTTGGCAATTCTATGGTATATAAGCTCAAGCACATCAGGTCAAGCTCTGAATATACATAATCAAGTGGGTTAGCAGAAAACTCAGTACAGATAGGTATATGATGCCTGCTACTTGAAATCTTTACATCAGATTTGACCTTCTTTGCTAAATGGTATGCTTTAGCCCAGTTAGAAATTACAGGAGTGATGCAGGAATTACTGGGTGAAATATTATGGCCTGTTTTATGCAGAAAGTCAGACTGGATGATTATAGTGGTCCCTTCTGGCTTTAAAAGCTGTGGCTGTGAAATTCCTACCAAAGGAACAGAAGACATCTACACAAAGACAAGGCAGACACTGTCCCTTGAGGCCTTCCAGAATGATAGTGCCTGGAGGGGGATATAATGAACAAATCCACACCCACTTACTGACTATGAAAAATATGAGGGGCAGCAAACACAGGCCCCATGTGATAGATCATGTCACAGCAGAAAGATCTTCTTTGAGAAGAAATGGTTATGTTATCAGCAAGCCATCAAGTTTCAGAGATACAGTATGGAGGTACTGACTGATGACCAAGAAGAAGAAGACTCCTCATCACTCAGAGGATCCAGGTCACTTTCCTTGATCTTTATCCTATGTCTCTGTGGGTAGGTCTACAGAGGAATAGAAGACTGTGGCATGACCACAGCTGGCCCAGGTCAGCGGACTTGAACTCGCAGGGCTCAAACTGTTAGACTAGAAATTGCTGTGTAGATTTTGTGTTTGGGTGGGAGCTCGAGTTCTGAGACTCTCCACCGTCTCAAAGTTCCAGAGCTTGAGCTTCAGCCCAAGCTCAGACATCTAAAGAGCAATTTTTCAACCCCAAAGACCAAGCCCTGCGAGCTCGAGACAGCTGACCTAGACCAGCCACAGGTTTTTTTTCCATAGTGTAGAAGCACCCTGTTTGTGTGGTCTCTTAATTGTCCACTTTCATATGTGGTGGTTTTAATTTGCTGTTTTATTTCTAGTACAAAAACTTCCTACCACACTATTATTTATAAAGTGCATGGTCTCTCACATGGATATCATGTCCCATATTGAAAAGTGTATGCTCATTTCAAAATTTGCTTGCTAGAGGAGCTTTATAAATTTCACTTCTCATTTTTGTGAGGGTCCTCAGTTGTATTGAATTATGCCCAGTTATCACTGTATAATACAGATGGTATGTAGGCCCGTTTATCTAAAATAGCAGACAACACAACAGTTACAGTTTAACTTTTGGGGAGATTCTCAAAGGAACAGAGGGAAGTTACATTAGGTACCCAATTCCTCCTGAAAGTCTGTAGCATTTGGGAGCCTAACTACACTTTGTAACTTTGAAAAAGTTTATTCTTCTTGTTTACCTTAACATATACATTAATGCAGTACACCTCTACCCTGATATAACGCTGTCCTCCGGAGCCAAAAAATCTTACCGCGTTATAGGTGAAACAGCGTTATATCGAACTTGCTTTGATCCGCTGGAGTGCACAGCCCCGCCCCCCTGGAGCACTGCTTTACTGCATTATATCCAAATTTGTGTTATATCGGGTCGCATTATATCGGGGTAGAGGTGTATTTTGTCGTCTCAGATCAATTTTTTTTCTACCACTCTATTTAGTATAATAGGTCTGTGTTATGGTTGCTACAGGAACCACCATTTTAAAATTTCCTAATTTTCTTCCTTTACAATGTCAACTAGTACACAGTGCCCCATTTCATTTAATTCCCTTGATTAAAACAAACACTATATCCACCCAAAATGAGTGTGTACATGTTAAAATAAACATAATAAAAGTCAGTATTATGAATTCTGTGGGTTTGAATTTCCAGAACTTTTCCAGCAGTAACACTGCAATCATGTATTTTTCCCACATTTAATATGCAGTTATTACCATTAAAAACATCTTGAGTCAGAAAGAGTGAATATTACAACACTATACCACGCTGCGTGCAATATAGGCTTATAAGAAGTGGTAAGCAGTGCTATCTCTGTCACTATGCAGTGGCAATTATTGATGGCACTTACTACAGGAAAATCAGTATAATGAACACTGAGATCCTGCATCAAGGAGGCAAGCAGGCAAAATTCTTAAGATTTTTTTGTAAATGACTCAGTTCTCAGTTTTTTTCCACCATTTTTAATATGGTATAAAGTACAGCACCTGCATTTTTATGCAGGTCTATAATTGAGACATATGCCATATAGAGTAACTAAATGTAATTTAAAAGAGTGATGTACTAAGAGTTATAACTACAAAAAAAACCTCTATAGTAGACTCTGGAGTCTTCTGAAATTACTTCAGTATATCAATTTATTGTGCAAATATAGTGCACATACAGATGACCTGGCACCACCATTTCCTCATAGAAAATGTTCCTCTTCATGCCATGAAAGGTATAGTGTTGAGATGTGGCAGTCAATGAGTTAAAAAGATAAAGGCATTTTTTTGGAGTATTTGTAGTTTTAGAAATATTCAAGTATAAACTTAGTGCACTGGACAGGTCACAAGTTAGGGAGGAATATTATGTGTGCCTATGGCTTTGTTCTGCAACTTCCCAATTTTTTAATAACCCTTGAAATCAAATTAAATTATTTTTTTAAAAGTCTCCTTACAAAATTTTAGGATCCTCAATTGTATTTGACTATTTTGTAGGGCTCATGTGTGTATGAGTCATTAAAATAAGCTCTATTGTTAAATAATCACAGGGCTTGGCACTTCCAAAATACCAACAAATCATCTGCTTTTTTTACCCATTTGGCATTTCAAACTGAACAATTGAACTGTAATAGCTGACTGGGAGAGTGGGGGCGGGAGGAGAGAAACCCACAGACTGAGTCAGGTGTCAGGAAGGATTTACACCAGCCTTGCACCAGATGTTGACCAAAATCTAAAGCAGTACTTACCTACTCCTGTTTTCGAAATGTGCCCTCTGGAACACAGTCTTCTAAAGGAGGAGACAAAGTCAGAGACAAACCAAATTTAGAAGAGGGAGAAGCCTGAAATTACGTGGAACTAATTCTTGCAACATAATGTTTTCAATAATCTTATTTTTATAAATCAGCATTTCCAGTTTTAATAAGTTACAATACTGACAAGAATGTGAACATGAGGTAAGATATGGAGGGATATGTACAAAGGATGATAATACTTAGGGGTGTCACAGTGTGACTGGCCCTTTGAAGTAGAATCAGGGTCCAGTGCATCTGGACTGATTTTCTGCTGTTCAACTGAGCTAAAGGGGAGAACAGCAGGAAGTACCTTGCTTGACTTTTATTCATAATAGGAATATGATCATGTTATATCATCTCCTTTGCAGATATTGTAGCATATTAGTACCAGCATGGCCCAAATATTCAAAAGTGTCTAGACCAGATCATCAAACAGCTGTAGGTGGTTGGCAGATACCAGGCAATAAAAAGGCTCCTGCACTGCCCTGAGTCAGCAGGAGGAAAGGCCTCTGGAAAAGGCCACACTCCAGGCAAGAAGTGTTTAGAGAGGAGGAAGGGCTGTGCCCAGCTTGGGACTGAGGAAAAATAAATGGACTTTCTAGAGGACAGACCATCAGGGAGGAGGGGCAGGATCCAGCTGAAATGGGCATGAAGACTGGCAGGTCTCAGTTCTGTTTTTAAAGACTTTGTGCAGGACTTAACACATTGGTCCTCAGAATGTTTTGAATAACTGTGTGGACTTTTTAAAGGGACCTCGGTAGAGGGAAAACTGAGACAGACCTCAGCAGAGCAACAGTGGCCAGTAAGGAATGTTACAGGACAAGTATGCCCTTTGACAAGGGGTCAGCAGAATGACAGAGGACTGTAACGGACCTCCTGGATCCTCAAGTTTAGTCCCTGGCTATTGCAGACAACCCTGGTTATAAATTTGCCAAGTTTCAACTTAATTCTTATAATACAAATGAAATACTGACCTTTAAAACAAATATCCAAATGGAACTTTCAGCCACCTTACCTTCCCCTCCTCCTCAGACCTACATGCTCTCTGCTCCACGGGGATGTTCAAATATTGACCCTGTATTGGTTGGAGGGCACACACATGGGGATGTGCTAGTCACCTTCACCCTTTAGAAGTGTGGGTTCTTCTTTGCCTCCCCACAGTGGTTGGAGGTGGACCAGGAAACCTTTCTTCCACTCTTTCTCATAAGAGGGAAGCCATCAGGAACCTATTTTCCCCTTCTCTTTACAAAAGGTTAACAGCAGAGTGGGAAGCCAGAAGTTTTTCCCTATGGGAGGCACAATGGAGGTATTTTTGTGATGGGGAAAAGTAGTCAGTAGTCTTTTCTTCTTCCCACATGGTTAGGCAAATAAAGTGTGCCTGTCTGACTAGCCAGACATGCAGAACAAGGAATAATAGATTTTTAAGGCCAGGAGGTACCATAATGATATTCTAGGATGACCTCCTGTAATAACACAGGCTAAATAACCTCACACACAGTAATTTTTGCATGAACTCCATTTAAAAAAAACCCAGAAGTATTCTCAACCTGTCCTCAGCACTCAGAAAACTTCTGTCAGGGAACATTACTAGTGTTCAGACATTCCCCCCTCCTTCCCTTTAAACTTTTAGAACAGTTTTTTCCCCAAATCTAGATGCTTCAAATTAGGGATTAAGGAGACTATTTAAACATCTAAAACATAAGCTGTTTCATGTTGGGCACACTAAACCAAGATGCAAAAAATAGTTAACATGCCTGAAAATGTTGGTCTTAGTGTATATTTAGTCTAAAGAGACTGAAAATTAGTGGCTCAAAACTGGGAAAATTCTTCTATGAGATCAGCAGCAAAAACGGTGCCAAACCACTCTCAAAACAGAAATTATTCTCCTCTAATGACTTCCATGCTTCAAGTACTGATGTGTAATGGTTTTAGGGGCCAAAGATTTTGAAAAGCAAGAAATAATTAGGCAAAAGAGGGTTATTTATGCATCAGTGCTCTCCATTCCAAATCCTTCCTACCCAAATCTGGACTGAAATGAAAACAGTGTCAGGTGAAAAAGATATTCTTATTCTGGGGTGAGCTACAGCAGCTGTGGAGACATGACATATTTGTATAGCTAAAGTTATATGTGGTAATAGAAGTGTCACAAAGCAAATGCAAGCAATTGAGAAAAAAAAACCAGACAGATACATCCTGGAAGATAAAGTTTGTAGCCCTCTTTCTTGGTGAATATATTTAACTTGAAACTATATAAACTTGAAAGTGCTACCTATGATCTACGTAGTGGTCAGTCATTTGGCTGATGGGCACTGGAGAGGTCTCTGAGTACTATTTTGTTCTGTTTTACTTTCCCTTGTACCTCTTCTCCTTTCAACAATGGACCACCACCATATCTTATGCCATGGCATTCATCCATTCCCTACTGTGTTGGCAGCCATTACTGTAGGTAACTGTATAGGAAAGTGCAATTTCAGTTTTCTGTACAATTCACTGTGCACATTGGCATGAGAAGGGATACATAGGGATTTTGCTTGGCTCACCAGTTACTCTCACCATTCAAGTTTACATTTGTACACTCCCCCCCTTCAACTCATATCTTATTTTTTTCTTTTATAATTGGCTCTGTATGAATGAATTAAATTAATGAAGATATCCTATCTCCTAGAACTGGAAGGGACCTTGAAAGGTCATCAAGAAGTCCAGGTCTCTGCCTTCACTATCAGGAACAAGTACTGATTTTACCCCAGATCCCTCAGTGGCTCCCTCAAGGATTGAGCTCACAACCCTGGATTTAGCAGGCCAATGTGCAAACCACTGAGCTATCTCTCCCCCCCAACTATGAAGGATACTTTGTTTTCAATGGAACTGAAAATAAATTCTGAAACAAGTGATTATGAGCTTCTCTGTTTTATTACACTTCTGAGAAGTCATAATTTCATTGACTGTGGGAATTTCATTGGCATCACAAGAATAATGAATTAAGATTAACTATGTTTTCTTCATGATTTTTCTCCCTACACAATCTACAGCACATTTCCCCCCCCAAAAAAACTCCTTTGAGTAGCACAGCCACAACCAACATTTTGTGGGGAAGGAGTTGCTCTGATTGAGAATTTTAAGGCAGACTTAGATTACTTTGCAACCCCAAATGAAACATATTATTAAAAGTCTGTAGTATGACTCAGGATCTGACCTATGCAATCTATTTATTACAGTGGATTTACTCCTGATGTTCATAGGGATAAGTGAGCTCTGAATCAGGCCCAAATGGCTGATGGGCACAAATTCAAGAATATCAAAACACAAGGAGAACATCAGGATAAAATCAGAGAGGATCAGCCTATTAGAGTTTCATCCTGTAATAAGCAACTCACTCTTCATCAAGTTGGCGGGGGGGGGAGGCGGGGAATGAAAATTACACCATTTTTTAAAGGGGGGAAATCAAGCAGCTCCAATCATGGAAGCCAGTGGAACTGTTAAAATACAGTCACTGCTTCATGATTCCTTTGGAACATAATTCCAAAACAAATAGGGACAGCACGTTTACATCCAAGGCAAAGTGTGGGGTTTACACCAGCAAACAGCAATACTTTCATGGCAGTCACAATAACTAAACTGGGTAGGGAGCAACAATCAGCATTCCATAGCAGAGGATAATCTCCTGCAGTGTAGGGAAGGAGAAGGTAATAAAAAGGGAGGAAAATAAGACTTTCCAATAAGCACTGCGTAGATTTACTTGAACCTACCACCACCATCAAACTCCTGTCCAGCTGATGGATGTCACACTGTAACTATAGTAAAAGTTTACTAAACAAGTAAGTGTTTCAGTAAAAACCATCAGAAAGTGCCTTTTGCTTGATCTTTATTCATAATGGGAAAGTTATCCTGTTAGAACATCTCCTTAGTAGGTATTGTGGCATATTCGTACCTGTATAGCATGTCCCACATTTTCAAAAGTGCTCAGAACCAGAGATTGTCAAACATTCAGCAACCACAACTCAGAACAGATTTCAGAATAGCTCAGCACCCATCATGACATCTCACACTGTTCTGAACTTTTTTACGAAAGCCTGTCCTGAAGAACTTGCAGTCAAAGGTTAAACCTAGTACTTCATCATACAAGTAGTCCTGTTCACATCAGTAATACTACTAACAGTGAATCAAAGTTGGAGGATTGAACTCTAAATACAAAAGGGTGTGAGTTAAAGGCAGAATGGGTCCAACATAGACATGTTATTAACTTCTCTGTTTGGGTGTGTATTTAACCTCGACATACTGGTTTTAAATCCATTCCAACTTTCCCTTCTCCCCCCAATTGTTTATTTATTATACAACTCATGGGAAGTTTGACCCTTTCCCTTCATCCAGTATAAGGTAAACAGAGTATATTTCTCCCTCTTCCTGCTGTTCTATTACTACTTATATAAACAACAATTATATAAATATCCTATTCACCTCAGAGTGGCTACAGCCCAAGAGTCTGAACTAGAGTTTAGTCAATAGAAGTCTTTTTTTGTCATTCAGTTCAGTGGGCTTTGGATTGCCCTATCCATAAAGACCTCACACCTCCTCTTTCATCCTCATCTCATTCATTCCCCTCCATATCTATTGGCACATGCCACTGAATATGAGTTATATCCTGCACTTCAGTTCACTACCACCACCACACCAAAGGCCTTCTCTCTGTTGGAAAGTTTTGTGATTTTTCAGTATAGCGACCTAACAGCTGATATTAAACCAATATAGTTATACCAGTAGAACCCCTATATGAAAACATCTTATTCCAGGTTGAATGCCCCTTTTTGGTTTAGAACATAAGAATGGCCATACTGGGTCAGACCAAAGGTCCATCTAGTCCAGTATCCTGTCTTCCAACATTGGCCAATGCCAGGTGCCCCAGAGGGAATGAACAGAACAGGTAATAACCAAGTGATCTATCCCCTGTCACCTATTCCCAGCTTCTGGCAAACTGAGGCTAGGGACACCATCCCTGTCC